GACACCAACTTCATTCAACAGGACCTGCCTGTGATTGATGGTGTTCCGCAAACCACTGGCAAGGATCCTCGTTCAGAGGGTCAACCAGGCGCCTTGGGCATGGGACAGCGTGCATCCTTCGGTATCGGTCAATTCAACTCTTTCTGGGCTTACAGCACACCCATTATCGGTGCCATTATCGCCGACGAGTACCTTGGTCGCTTCAACACCATCTTCATCGCCATCGCCTTCTCTATTCTGGGTCACATTCTGCTCATCATCTCCGCCATTCCCGCTGTCCTCACCAGCGGCAATGCCATCGGTCCTTTCATCCTAGGTGTCATCACCCTCGGTTTCGGTACCGGAGCTTTCAAGGCCAACATCTCGCCCTTGATCGCTGAACAATACCGCCAAACCAAGCCCCGTGTCATCAAGGACCCCAAGACTGGCGAGCGCGTCATCTCTGACCCCAACATCACGCTCTCGCGTATCTTCTTGTGTATGTTGTCCCCCAATGCAATATTGCAAGTAAACCACTAACACTGCCCAGACTTCTACATGTTCATCAACATCGGCTCTCTGACTGGACAAATCTCCATGGTCTACGTTGAGAAATACGTCGGCTTCTGGTGCGCGTGGCTGCTACCCACCATCATGTTCTGTTTCTGCCCTGTCGTTCTTTGGGTCTGCAGGAACAAATACATCCGCACTCCCCCCACTGGTTCCGTCCTCATCCGCGCCTTCAAGGTCTTGAAGCTCGCCACCAAGGGCAAGTGGTCTCTCAACCCTGCGACTACGCGCAAGAACTTCAAGAGCGAGCGATTCTGGGAGGACGTCAAGCCCAGCCACCTCGGTGCCAACAAGCCATCCTGGATGCAGTTTGACGACGCTTGGGTTGACCAGGTTGCTCGTGGCCTGCGTGCGTGCTCTTGCTTCACCTGGATCCCTCTTTACTGGTTGAGCTACAACCAGATGAACAACAACCTCACGTCGCAGGCCGCCACTATGACCCGTAACGGTGTTCCCAACGATGTCATCACCAACCTCAACCCCATCTCCCTGGTCATCTTCATTCCCATCGTTGACAACTTCCTCTACCCCGCTCTCCGCAAGGCAAACATCCGCTTCACTCCCATCAAGCGCATTGCTTTCGGTTTCATCCTCGCATCTTTCGCGATGGTTTCCGCTGCCGTCATCCAGCACTACATCTACGCTGAGGGCCCTTGCGGCGAATACATGAACAGCTGCGACGACCCAGCCCCGATCAACGTCTGGACCCAAGCCGTGCCGTACATGCTCGTCGGTTTCTCTGAAATCTTCACGTCGATTACTGGTCTCGAGTTTGCCTTCACAAAAGCACCCAAGAACATGCGTTCGCTAGTAACCTCGTACTGGCATTTCATGTCCGCCTTCTCCAACGCGCTTGGTCAGGCGTTTGTATCGCTGTCCGAAGATCCATTGTTGGTGTGGAACTACACCACTGTTGCTATCTTGGCGTTCATCGGTGGCATTCTCTTCTGGTTCCACCAGCGCAAGACTGACAAGCAGGAGGATATTCTTAACATGCTTCCCGACTCCAACTACATGGGCAAGGACCGAAGGCATAGTGTTGCTGGTGCTGAAGAGGCTATCGCTGGCCACAATGTTGAGGCGCATGTTCGCACCCAAACATAGTCGCGCGCGGTACATTGCTATATGTTGTTGTCAATGAGAGCAGCTGACAAAATTGGCTGTATGTAAGGAGCTATCATGATCTAAGATACCTATTTAGCTTGAAACGAGTTCAAACATGAGACTTCCAATCAGCTGGTGTAACTCCTCTTCCTTGTCTGCTTCGCCCCGTGAACTATGCATCGTCTGCACGTTTGTCAACATCTGCATACGGTCATCATAGCCATGTATTTCCCAATCGCGGTGCTGGCGGTGACATGCTAGGTCTTATCGTGGCACGAGACGACCTGCACGACGTTCAATGGGCTCGACGGGATTATGCCAAACCACTCATACGAGATTGAGAGCGCAGGATCAAGCATGGCGTACATACCATTCCCAACAAGATTAATCAAAAGCTAAGCATGATAGAAAGTCGTTTGTGCGTGCGTCATTTACGGAGTGAACATTGGCTTTCGCAATTGGATATCTAGCCTGAACTCTCCATCGGCAGGCAGCCCAACATGGGCCATTGTGCGCACAATCCGTCGCTGCTTATTCAAAGCTTCAACCCTTGGCTAGATTGTTGTATGACGAAGAAAGGCTTCATCGTTTTGACTACCTCCTTCCTGACTATATTGTGGCCCGCGCTTGTTGTCCCCATGTGATGTAAATGCAGGTGATTTTACGAGTACGCAATAAGCTGAGCGTGTACATGATACAGGCACTGCTAGGTACGATTCGAAGTCATTCATGACATTTGAAGTGTATTGCTTTGACATGCACGTTGTGCCGAATTTGGTAGGCTCGATCGTCAATGATGACATTCGCATGTGTTAAGTCTTGCATGACATGGAGATATGATCCTGAAAGTGTTGTGTGCTCAAGCCTCGTCAAGAGTGTTCGCCTCATTGGTATCAACGTAGTCCTTCATACATCGTTCCGGACGGTATTCGGTGTACTTGACCACGGTAACAATACTGGTGGGCAACTGCTCGTAGACAGGCACAGGCTCCTCGCCCTGCATTACTGTGGGAAGTTCGCACTCCATGTCGTCCCAGCACTTCTCCGGCAAGTCATGCTCCGGGTTCCTGCTGGGACACTTGTAATCTCCTTGGCTCGGAATCTTTGCTTCGATGCATGAGACAAGCTCGAAGTCATTGGAAGGGAACGGGTCTCGGCTAGGCGGTATCATCAACCTCCTCCTGACCTCAGTTTCATGGATCGTATTGGATATTTCGGGACGAGGACTTGTATGGATCCATGCGTGATTATCGAAGCTTTTGCTTATAGGATTCAGCTGACCTGGGTGTATCTCCATTTTGTATCCAGTCTTAATAACCTCCAGAAACTTTTTCTGCTTGATCCATTCCTGCAACTCCGGGAGGCCGAAGAAGTCAGCCTCGGCCAGAAGTTTATTATATCCCACGTAATCAAAGCCCTTTTCCCTCGTCCAGAGCAACGGATACATTGTGGGTCTCTTGATATAGGCGAATAATGCTGGCCAGATCTCGGGATCCGTGTCGACGGGAAGCGAACCGTCGGGCAACAGATCAACGGGCCATCGACCGCTAAGCAAACTGGCGAAGTAATCGCAGTTTTTGAGAATCGACTTTGTGGTGCGATACTTGTGGCCGTCTACGTCGAGGGTTATGTGGTCGGTCTCGGGGAGATCGGTGCGGCGAGGGTAGTCGTGTTGTTGAGGGGCATTCGAGTCGTTCGATGCGTCGAGTTCCATGGTGTTGACGTTCGATGTCATAACCGAGGGATGAGTGGGGGAATAAGTACAGTGAGAGACGATTGAGTAGTCGGTGTGGTGGGGGCCGATTGATGTGTGAGGCGATGCGAGATGGCACACCGAGGAAGACGCGTCTCCAAACGCGCCAAGGCTTGCCCCGCTCGTGCTGTCCGCTGCTCCCTCTCGAGGGAATCCCTCCCCACAAATCCAACCCTGGAGGAACTCGACAACCTTTGGGAAACCACACAATGTCCTGCCAGCCTTTCGCTAATGACGCGCTGCAACGCGTGCGGTTGGGCTCTCGATCACTTCAATACCGGCACCGATTACGCCGAACACAAACCAGTTCACTTCTGCGACGCCTTCTCTAAAATCCAGATGTCGCTGGCACTCCGTGGCTATCACAAGGTGTTCATCTTTGCGGAAATGAGAATATGTTAGCACTGTAGTATCTTGTTCTGGGTCGAGGCGGAGTGGATTACCCATATGCATGACCACGAGCGTGCATAGCATAGGAGGGCAGAGGATCCAGGTGTTATTCAACAGTCATGTGGGTAGATGTTATGAAAGCGGAATATCAGACATTGTCTCTGTGCCTAATCTCTTGAGCATGAATCGTGCCACCTCTTATCTAGGTAAGGCCTTGATCGTTGTCGCCTCCGCCCGTACATCACTCTCCCCTCACCTCCCACGGCGATATCTCCAAGCCTCTATTCAGCTCTGCCCTCCGGCGCAGCAACACTTGGGGCTACTTGCCCGCGCAGCTCTCTATAACACTGCGCATTGTGACCTCCTCACCGCTGCGCGTCTATATCACGACTCCAGGCAACGCCGCCAAAGACCATTACGGAGGAGATCGACGACGACACCGACGATGAGATCAACAGTGAGACTGACGACGACACTAACAGCGAGATTGAAGACGAAGACGAATCTGGCATCTTCCCTACAAACGAAGAGCTTATAGCAATCGCAGAAGAGGATCCCACGTCCGCAGCAGGGCTCGCATACCAGACTCCCTTTGGCGCTCTGCTCTGGCAATTGACCCATCGTCACAACACCCGCGATCGTGTTACACGAGACCTTATTAGCAGTGTTGGTATCTAGGCAGTAGAATCAATCTCAGACTCTTACTCTGCACCATTATCAACTTCCCTGTAAGGTTGACTTGGCCATGGGTCCAGATCGGCAGGCCCAGAATTCGAAGGCCTGTACCAAATTCAACACTGCATCCTCGTCGTGTTGGGCCCTAGTAATGAGGCGACAACTCCAGTCATTAGAAGAGAGAAGGGCAACTACAAGCATGGCCCCCAAGACGTAGCAAGGAAGCACATAGTCTTCAATCAACACCAGACCGCTCTCTTGTCGCATCTCAAGTTGCCTTATACACCGTCTGCACTCTCTCTCCTCTATGATCACCCTTTATGTTTCTTGTCGTGGTCACTTCAATGTCTCGGTGGTGCGAATCCTGATTCACCGCGGAATCCAGACCATTCACTCACCACACTAAGCTAAGACAAACGCACCACACGTTGAGATATATATCCGACCAACGTCAAAATTGCGGCTTCAACCGTCACATAAAACTTATCCTACCTTGACAGTACCAATTCAACGCGCACACCCAGCAACAATGGACGATATCTGGAGCGACACGGAGATGAGCGAGACATCGTTTACCACCACCGAGTCATCACCGCCGCCATCTCCCATCCTGACAGACTACCAAAACAACCTCATCGCCACCTATGCGTTCCACAGCGATAGCATCAGCGACCTCATAAACATCGCCGTCGACCTTGAAATCAGCGTCCGACGCGAGCGCGACGAACCGAGCCTCCCATACCTTACCGAGGATTTGGAAAAGACGCGAGGGGAGCTGGTCCTGCACAGGGACGCGAAGCGGAGGATCGAGAGGAACCTCAAGAAGGAGAAGTTGAAGATGGTGGTTGGACGTGGGTCAATCGCGGCGAAGCAGCAGTTGAATGAGATTGGACGTTACATGGAGGTGGACAAGACGATAGAGTGTCTTCGCTGAGAGAAAGGTGGACTATGGCACGCATACCTGCATATCTAGAGGAGTCTACGGTGTCTGGTGCAGGGGTGCTTTGAGCTGATTTGACAAACGCGACATGCATCAAGTTGGGTCTAAGACTGAATGGACGCAGTATACAAACCGGTCTATGCCTTTCCTTGAATGCTATTGACGCTTGCTCTCATAAGAGCAGTAACGGATGGTCATGTGAATGGGGTATACTCGTAATCGCAGCCGTCGAAAGCAGACTAGACGAGCAAACGATGACAAGAAGTTTGAGATTACGGAAGTGTACAGGGTGTTGTTACAAACAGTACAAATACAAAAATTAACAGCACATAACGCAAAATCATGCGACAGCAAGAGTAGCGGCGCTTGGGTTGGTGCGCTTTTGCTAAACGGTCTCCTCCGCATCTCCATTCGATACTACGTCAAATCCGAGCATCGGATGCGTCACCTCTCCCCAACACCACAAGCAGGTCTTGTTCCCGGTCTGTCGCCCACAGGCGCAATGCTCTTTGTGCTCAGCGAATATTGTATCGAGGTTAGTTTCTTCTGCCTCGTAACAACGTAGGCACAGCCAGCGGTCAAGGAATCGATTACGCAAAGTGCACTGACACTGAGAGTCTTGAAGACTGCTTCGGCTATCCGAACCATCTTTTGGGAGGCAGTCGTTGCAGAACCATCGTTTCCTTTGCTCTGTTGCTTGGTATAAGGCTCGAAGGACGGGCGAGGGGTGCACGACGTTCGAAGACGCCGATGCGGCCAAGGTGTGACTGCCGAGATCTAACTCTAAGAGCTCTTCGACACACTCTGGTAGACCGAAACTATCTTCTTCAAAAGGAACGTCGATGAAGCCTTGGTCGTGATGTGGTGCACTGGAACCATGCGCGGGACTTTCCCATTCTGGCGCTGGGTGATCACTAGACATGTGATGTGGGCTGAGGATAGGTATCTCAGAGGGCGATAACAAGATAAAGCCGCTAAAGTTGGGCAGCTCATCTTCATCACATGGCGTCTCGTAGATGCTCTGGTAGACGCAGTGGATGCGGCACTCGTCGCAGGTGCTGACTTTACATCTTGAACAGGGTCGACACTCCGTATCGGACTCTTTTGCGCCGCACTTGATGTACTCAGTACAGTCGTAAGCATCGAAGAAGGTCGACTTCTTGTGACGCTTGTTACGGATCCGTACACCCCTGCCAGAACACTTGAGTTTGCCCAGCAAATTCTCCAAGCTACTGGAATGCGGCAGTATCGTCTTGTGCATAGTCTTTGAGCATAGAAGTAGCGCCATGAGGTCGTCTGGGTATAAGCTTGATATGATCATCTCCAGCAAGCCGTATTCGTGAAACACTTCCATGAGAGGACATCGCTGCCTTGACACAGCCAAACTATCCACTCTTGTCTTTTTGCGCGCCTCCATTTGCTCACCGCTCGATCTTTTGCGCTTTGTAGTCTCCATGGTCTCCCATTCGCGATAGTCTTGATCCCAAGTATCTCGTGGTTCTGCTGTCCTAGTGGTGGACACGCGGTGGTCCAGCGATTGAGTAGTCATATCAGCCTTGAGACTCCTAAGAAAGATGAGCAAAGAAGACTAAGGACGTCGGTGCGTCAGTCGAAGTCATCATGGGCCAGCAGATGCACCATGAGAGTACCGGCTCATGAGCACCACCGAGACGCGCAATGACGGGAAGTGCATCCCAAGGCGACGTACTTGTCTCTCACGTCGCAACGTGGTTCTAGCCTTCCGCGCCTCTGATAGCGCTTAACAGCTTCCAGTACCTGGATCTGGGTCCATCTTGGCGTTGTGTTGACAATAGTGTGGGGGACGCTCAACAGGCGGGACGAGATGAACAATGGCGTTGTATTACCAACACCTCGCAGCAAAGTGGGGCGTCTATTTCAGAACCAGGGCGATTCAGAAAGAGCATGAGAAACGATGAGGAATTTTTAGTCTCGTCTATTTTGACCATCGTGGACAAACGGGGAGATGCGGGATTGCGTTCCGGTAGCGGCCGACTGACGAATGAGCATCCATGACATAATGATGCCTCGGTCATTGCTTCTTTCCGTCTGCCCTGACCCTTGACTCGACTTCGCGACACTGTTTAGATGTATGCAACACATGCGCAACGCACGCGCAACTCGACTTCGCCACTCCACCACTCCACCACTACTCATCCATCGTCCAGGCATCCGAACCACACTCACGCGTGCTCAAAGCCTCGAGAGGTCGCAACGCTTACCGCTAGCTGGTCAAGAAGTTACATCACGGGTGCTTACGATAGAATGATGGTTCTGCACAGCGCCTAATTCGATTTCTTGCACATGCAAACTCGCACCTCTCGAGCTTTGAGCTTTCCTATCGACGATGTTCCGAGCCTCCCCCAGTTCCGTCATTCCGATGCGTAGTCACCACCCTCTTTGGTCCTATCTCCTGGTCGCATTGGCATGACCCTCATTTCTTCTCATCCGGAATGGAGTAGCAGCAACCGATGTCGAGCACATTATAGAAGGTGCAGTCGCGCTGGACGTAGAAGCCACCCTTCTTGTAACAAGTCGATTTGGTAGTGCAGATACCCGAAGGGTCCGATCTGCCGCATGGAGCTGGGTATGGGTCTTTCGGCGCAGCAAGAGCGATAGAAGCGATCGCCGCGATGATGACAAGAACCTTCATCTTAAAGTTTGATGACAGATGATGCGGTTTCGATCAATGGAGGTGTTGGATTTGTGATCTCACAGAGATATGTGTAGGTGAGTGAGTAAGTTGACGGCTTGGTAGAGATGTCGCTTTGGTTATCACGAAACAACTGTTTATATAGACAGCAGCCTCGTATCTGTGGCGCCACTGACATCGTTTTAGAGTGAGAAGCTCATCGAAATGTCCTGTGTCGCAATCCAAATTTAGCTGGGACTATCTGAGCGACCGCGAAATGCCCAAGGTCTGTCCAATCCACGCATCTCTGCGCCCACCAGCCATAACTTTAAGCTTTGCGTATTCGTAGCAGCGATATCGTCATGTTACAATCTGGGCCAATGTGAACCTCCAACCGTGGACGTTGCGATAGCGCTCATATGCCTAAATTGCGTCGCAGCGTTTAGCGAGGGATGCAATCTATCTTCCCCGGATTTCGCATTGCCAGCACTTCTGATAAGTCCCCCACATGCGAGCTAGACATTCTACCATATGAAACGGGCGTACAGTCCTTCCTGGCTCGGATACAAGGCAGATATGACGTCGTCGTAGCATCCAGTACTGAACTCTGTCGCGTCGCGTCGTGGTACCATCGAGGCGGAAGAGCGTATGATCTCATAGAGTACCAAGGCAGTTAAGACGGCACTACCGCTGCCTTGGAAATCTACACCGGGTGCAAGTCCGCAGAATCGCTCCAGCAAACTAATTCACTATGCCCGCTCCAGATCTTTCTGGCACAGCACTTGTGACCCACGGTGGCTACGATTGCAGCCATGTTAGACCATCATTCACAGCGCTACGTCGTTCTTGCGGAACATCCGCACGCTGCTGCGCATCATTGTGGACTTTGCCACGTGATATGGCAATGTAGTCGTCGTAGATTCTTCACGCACACGTGATGCAACGTCTTCTCTAAACGGAAGAGCAACCTTGGAAGTCTCCCCAGAACAATATTGTTAGTCAGTTCATCCAGAAGAGCTCTGAACGAGTCACGTCTCGAACCACTACTCCCTGTTGTTCAATCTGCTGCGTCCAGTTGGCCGGCAATAATGCGATGGCCTCCAACGCCGGTTCCAATGAGATTCGACATGATCCCAGCCTTCGTGGTGTAGTGTGGCGTATTTGACGTCGCAGCGCGTGAGCAGGCAGCGCCACCAGTGGTCTAGGCTTTCTGTATAACCGTTTGAGGTGGCTCGAGGTGACGAGATGCATGTCTCCAGTCGTTCCTAATCCTCCTGACTTCACTGCTAACAGTTAACATCATGTCTTTTGCGGGCCTAGAGCCCCCATCATCAGCGGGGTAGCCCAATGCTGCTACATCTATATCCACGTGTTTCTTCTAGAGCCTGGATCCTTAACTCCATGGGACGAAGCACGGTCTCAATAACCAGCGTTAGGAGACTTCCAAGATGGCTATGGGATGTGCCGCTGTCTTGTACAATAGTCGGCCGCAGTCGCACGAAGATAGTTCGCGTCTTCGACCTCGGCGCGCGATCCCAAGGGCTGATGCGCCCGCTGTCGGGCGCGCTAAGAAATGGCGCATTGCAAGGTTACGTCACGTACGCGCATTCCATCACCAAGTCAGCCTCACACACAGCCTCTACTCACAACACCGGGCGTAGCCGCTTCATGGACGCGATGCTGCGGCTTATAGCAGGGGAACAATCACCACCTTTGCCGGATGCGGACGCGCGATTTAGAATATTCCTGGTCGATCTGCTGGGACAGCGCATTGCATTGCACCCTCAACACCAAAATTTTCATCATCGCAGGCCCGTGTCCAACGCCATGCTCAAAAGGAACTACACCACGACGCGCTCGGTAAGCTTCTAGAAGGCCAGTAATCGAATCATATAACAGTTCGCTTATCTTTTCCATGCACGGTCGGCGAGTGTTTCCTTCCATGGGGCTTCTAGAAGATAGTTTCTCGGCCTGTTTGTCGGAACGATTAGCTGGCTAGAGCACCACAGCGGTCAACGGCGGCACTTGGCCCTGATTGGCTCACGTCGCCGCCTCAAGTGGGAAGGATCAACCGACCTGCAGCCGCATCTCCACCTTTTGTTTCCAGCATCAGCCGCATCCATTTCCCTACGACATCGTTCTGTATGGACTCTATATCTCTGTGCTTCGTTCAGTCATCGTTTTCTCCCGAAAGACATTCCAGTCCACCCTCCCACAAAGACGCCACCAGTCTGGTGCATGATTCCGATCCATCCGTGTCATGTTGAGATGAGGATTTCCCGTGTCTCGCAAAGGCTGTCTATCTAAACGGGCTAGTACCTTGGCCCCAGAATGGCCATGGCCC